TAGTAGTAGTAGTATATAGTATATTATATATAGTATATATATATATATATATATATATATATATATATACTGAGAGAGTGTTTTATGTGCCTGTTTGTTTGGGTGCCTTTGGTGACATGCCATTTTTCCTGTGGCTGTTTATGTTAGGCATATTGTTTACAATCAGTGACATTTGTTTATTATTATTTTTTTACGTGTGTGACCATTTGTTTTTTTTTCTTGTATTGTTGTCTTTAGTTTTGGTCGCTCACTTGAGTTTTTAACTGTGTCAGCACGGCCGCGCGCAACTTATGACCTCCACTGCCTGTCAGCCCATCCGTGTGCGGACGCTAGAGATTTTGTGGCACGGCAGTGAGCGTGAAGAGGAAGCGGTGCAGTTGGGTTTACAGCGTGTCGCCATTGAGGGTATTGTGTCGATTGATTACAACAGTGAGAAGGATCGTATAGTGACTTGTGGTGGTGATGGTTACATACGCCTGTGGCAGCTGCACCCTGCAGCCACCGATAGCTGGCTCGCCAACAGTCAAAATGACATGACGGCGTGTGTGAGCTTTGTCGCTGGGATGTGGACGTCGTGTATGCCGTTGACAGCGCGTTGGTCCCCGCACGGGGGGATGATTGCTTCTGCCCATTGTGAGGGGCAAATCTACCTGTGGTGGCAAGAGAAGCATCTGGAGGGGAAGAAGGAGGAGTGGAAAGACTATCGACATCTTTCTGGCCATGTGATTGACGTGTGTGACCTGTGCTTTTCACCTGACTCGAGGTATCTTCTTAGTGCTGGTGGGGATGGCAGTGTTGTTATTCACGACCTTGAGGGGTCCACGGTTCCCGTGGTGCAGCTAACGGAGGTGCACCACAAGTTCTGCCGGGGGGTGGCATGGGACCCGTGGCGTCGCTACGTCGCGAGTTTTGGTGGAGGGCCTTCGCTACTGTTTTTCACCTATACTTCCAAGCCAGCAGGGGCGTCGCGACGCGTGCATTTGACAGGACAACGCAAGGCACCGGGGGACTACATTGGGGAGTTATGCGCTACAATGTTTCGGCGCTTCGGGTGGTCTCCGGACGGGTCGTTGGTAGCCGTTCCTTACGGGAAAGCGTCGCATCATTATCAGAGCCACAGTAATCACAACAACACCAACCAAAGCAGTGGCAACGGTGACAATGCAACGCATGGGGGGGACGATATGGTTCACTGCGTCTACATCTACACACGCAATGCCTTGGACAAGGTGGCTGCTCGGCTGACGATCCGCGGTTACTCAGAGGTGCGTGGGGTGCTGTGGGCACCGTGCTTCCTGGAGCCAATTGACAGCGAAGACGACAGTTGTAACGGCAATCGTGTGGAGAATCATGAGAGAAACAAGGAGGAAAGCGAAGGGGAATGGGGTGTTAAAAAGGAAGGAGCGGCCGGAGTCAGTGCGGAGAGACAACAACGTGGTTTGGCGGATCGTGGCTCTTGGGGACCGGATGACTATCGTATGGCAATGGCGGTCTGGACAGCGGATGCGGTGGTTGTGTACACTACCGACAGTGCTGTACGCCACAGTGACTACACGGATCTTCACATGCGCAGCATTTCCGATGTGGCGTGGAGTCCCAACGCCATCTACTTGCTGACCGCCTCGCTTGATGGCTACATCTCTGTCATATCCACCGGTGGTTCTCTCGGTGTTGCCCACAAACTTCCACTCTTCTCTATGAAGCCTGCAACGGTGGCTTTGTGCAGCCTACTGTCCGATATCAGCAGCCTTGGGAAAAAAATGGAACTCAAAAGATGGTCCGCAACGGATGTTGCGTCAGGGGCAAAGACTTCATCTGATGGCAGTGCCGTTTCGCACGCGCCCGTGAAGAAGAAAAGGAAGTTGGGTAAGGAACCGCAGCAGCAACAGCACGAAAAAGAATTGAGTAGTAAAATGATACCGCTCAGTGAACTTTCAGAATTGATGGAGAACACTTGAAAACTGTAGCGCGGCGTTTTGTTTGTTTTTACGCCGCACTGAAGGTGTTACAGCCACCACTCGTAATGGCGTTGTGGTTTATCGCCTTTTCTGTGTGCTAATTTGCTTTTGGCTTGGAGCGTCTTACAACATAAACACTGCTGTGTGTGTGAGAGAGGGAGAGAGACTGGAAGCGTGTGGGACGGGATTTCTCTGCTTTGTATGGTCGTATATTAAGCATGCATAGCAAACATGGTACGCCATCAGCAAAATTTTTATGCGTCGACTGTTTTGTTTTGCTGCAAATAGACACTCACGCACCTTTTTTTTTTTCTTCTCACACTCTTTATCCTTTCCTTTCACTATTCGATATGTTTGGTCATATATAATATATATATATGCATTTACCCATTCACTGTTCTGACTGTTTTGTTGCAATGTGCATTCTCTGTAAAACTCGACGCCTTTGGGCTTAGTAGGGGAAAGAAAAGAGAGAAGAAAGAGAGTTGTAGGCACGCTAAAAGAAGCACACTGTTTCTGGATTGAGTGGAGAGGTGAGCTTGCACTGGGTTCGTGTTATTTAAAGGTTTATTATGTACGTGCTACAAAACGCGCCGGGGGGAGTCCTCAGGTCGCAGAATTATCAGAAAAGTGCTGCCGTTGTCGCTACAGATCCTGAAGGTGATGTGCGTGGGAACATCGCGAGGCTAACCGCACGGGCCCGCCAACTACTCTCTGAGGATACGGACACGCGTGTGGTGCGTAACGGTCTTAGTGCCTATGAGACCTCGCGGAAGGTGGCGGCAGATGTATCGGCGCGTGCGCGGGCCCCCGGGCAAACTGGCTCGACGCAGGCATCGGTGGAACTCTTCATGGCAAGCCTTGGTTTTAACCTTCAAGAGCAACAGCGCCTCCTACAGCAGCTGCAAGCAAGCCAGGTACCGATTGCAGTAACAGGTGATGCTGGGACGGCTGCAAAGACTTCTGGTGCCTTTTTCAAAGGGCAGGTCGATGAAGAATTGGGCAGCACGTTGGAAAATTTTGTGGCGAATCGACGACATGAGATTATGCGGCGCAGCATGGAGGAAATGCATCGGCGCGTGGAAGATTTGGTGCAGGAGCGTTCCGAGACCATCCTCCGTGCCTCATGGGAGAAATGTTGTAACGAAGTGGCAGATGCATTTGAATCCTTCTCATTGAAGGTGGGTGGAGGTGGTGGCGAAGTCTCGCGAATCAAAATGTCTACCACCAGTGTGAACTCCAGTGGGGCCGTGCGACCACGTGCAGGCGTAATGGCGTTACTGAACGGACACGATGCTGCATCCATGCGCATTCTTAACAAAATTATTGGTTTTGCGAAGATTGTTGATACACAGCCACCACTGCAGTGGGTACGGTGTTTTGCCTCCCATGTTGCGGATGACGTCCCGTTTGTTACAGACGAAGTGAACGTTCTTTGGAAGACAGTGGAGCAAATTCTGCAACCTATTCTACAGCTTGGCTCTGCTAGCACAATCATGACCTTTGTTGCCTCCAGTCGACACATGATGGAACGCAAAGCTCTCGTTAGTGTGCTGTCACGCGTGCTTAAGGTGGAGCCTGAAAGATTTGGTGAACTGGAGAATATGCATGCTACACGCTTTATCAGTATTGTCGGGCGCTATACATCATCATCGAATCCGTGGGCACACATCTACACGGCCATGCGCTGTGGTCGTTATGACGCCGCTGCCATTGTTGCCAGTAATGCGGGATTCCGCTTGGTTGAAGCAAAACTTGAAGCATACGCCAATGCGCACGTGACACAACGAAGCACTTTGCCACCAGCGGTTGACTTACGGCCGTTGTATGAAGAGGAGGCTACCCGGGAAGATGCATACCGGCAAATTGTCCTGCTCCTCTTGCTAGTTGGGAATACGGGAGAAAGTAATGACGTGGTCTTGTCGGCGGTGTCGTCATTGTCGTCAAAGGTAGCGCGATCTCTTGAGGACACGCTGTGGATCCGTCTCTTCTGTGTGCGCTCGGTTGAGTTGCGAGGCAGTGATAGGCTCCAGTCTCTTGCAGAGATGCAACGCTTGCTTCTTGATGACATGCAGGAGCTCGTGGAACTGGTTCGCGGTGATGTGGTGCGTTTGGCGTCGTTGCTGATTCATGCGTTGCTTCCCTCCTCTGGACTGCGACTTCTTATTGAGGGTGACAGCACATACGTAGATGGCATTCACCTTGCGATGTGCTTTCACAACTTACAACTCTTGCCGTGTGGTGAGGTGGAGGTGCCAATCGACCTCAGTCGGCTCATTCCACAGTACTGCTCCCTCGTACTACTTGACGTGGATAAAGGCAATGCCTGCACCGCGTATGCAGGGGCGGCTGTGTTTCGCTATTTTATTCGGACGAACATTGTCGATGCCTTCGTCGAGTACTGCGGAAATGAGCTGGTGTGTACGAAGTTGTTTGGGAAGCGCGGAGGCGGACGTGTCGGCAGTGACGGTGTCCTTCTGCGGGAGGCACCATCGCCGGAGCTCCTGGAGGTAATGGAGCGTGTGGCAGAGGCGGGTGTGGCGCGTGGCCAGACGGAACTTGCGGTGCGTGTCTTCTCTGTCTTGGAGCGTGCCGCCGCGCTGGTGAAGGATGATACACGTGCCAATTATGCCTTGAGTCGGGCCGTGCAGATTATCTGCCCAGCACTGTCGCACGCCTTTCAGCAGGCGCCATCGAGCGAGAGCACCGGCCTGTTTATGCACGCCGCCGAGTTGCAGGAGCGAATTGCATCTTCCAAATGCGTTATCCCACATGCTTACGCTGAAGCGTTTCAGGTACTTTGCAAGATGAGTGAAGTCTTTGTGAGCCTCACGCGCGGCGAGTTGGAGGTCGCTCTTCGGTGCTTTTGGAGTCTTCCCTTCATTCCTGCCATGTCAGAAGACATTGAGCGCTGTGCTGAGCTCTTGGATGCGGCGCCCGAGTCCATAGCAACGGCTGTACCGCCGATTGTTTTGCTCGTTATGCAAAACATGCTGAAACTTGCGGAGGTGCTCAAGACAAGAGGACAGTCGAGCGAGGCGGCACAGATGCAGCGGCGTGCGCAGGCATTGACAATGTGGGTGCGACGGTGGAAACGAATCTTCTCTCGGCAACTCTTGGATGAATTGGCATCTTTAGAAAAGCTATTTGCACTCTGAAGCTGAAGCTAACGACCTGTAATGCCCGTTTGAAGGCCAGGCACAAGGGCAAGGGGTAAGTGAGGTAGGGGCGTTTGGGTTTTTATGTGTGTCTGTGTGCATGTGCAGTGCTATGATTACATGCGGAAAAAGAAAGAGGGGAGGGGGGAAAAAAATAAAAATAAAAACACCCAGACGTTTCCAACACATCCAACCTTTTTTTTTTTGTGTAGGCATACTTGCTGATGTGCACACGTACATGCGTCTCTCTTATCCCTTTTTCTTACTCCCAGACAAACTGAACTTTTAGGTGTGTACACTGCACCGTAGTAATCTATTTGTTTTTTACCGCTTTAGAAGCGGGGGACTTTTTTTTTCCTTTAGATGTTTTTCTTCCTCTTTTACCCTCCATTCATTTGATTCTATTTGTGTGTTGGGGTCTTCAATAAGCACCGATTACACTCGCCTCGTTCTGGAGCTTTGTGTTTCCTCGTTTTTTTTTTTGCCTCTATTATTGACTCCTTCCCGCGGTGTGTCTGTCAAGGAGGACACTGGGGTGTTTGTTTAGGTTCCAATGGAGAAGCAGCTGCACGTTATCGCGTCGGATTTTGTGGCGTTTTATCGTGAATTGTCAAGGCATTCTCTACTGACGCCAGAGAGGCTTAACATGGATGCGTTCCAGGCCATATTTGACCGCATGCACATGGAGTATCTGCACTACGCCGGGTCAAGCTCTACGCAACCGTTCCATGTGGAGGTGGTTGAAAATGTGCTTCAACTTGCTGCAGCGTATCTTTCGCTACCGACGGATGTGAGTCCAAGCAGTCGTGCCTTTGGTCTGTACCTTGTCTTCTTTCTCTATGCGTCGCAGCCATCCATTGACACGTCACCGGTGAAGGTGCGTGTGGCGCGTGGGACTCTGCAGAGCTACTTGGATGATATTGCCGATAGTGTGGAGGATGCCGATCCGCAGCCGGCCTTTGCCGCTCAACTAAGTCGTCGCGTGACAGATGGTGAGAAACGAATACTTCTCGCACTCCACAAGGCAGGGGCGTGGCATATCATGCCCTTTGTTGACATCTCCGTGCACTTGCAGACATTACTGAAGGTGCACGATGCGGAAGGCGTCCCGTTGGGGCGGGGTGGTGCAAAAGTACAGCGTCAGCAGCATCAGATGACAAATGCGGTTGTGTCGGATACCGCCTTATCAAGGGAATTAGAGGCGTATGAGGCGATGAAACGGCGCCTGGGCCTAAACGATGCCCTAGGGGGAAACTGATGGGAATAGCGAGAGGTGTTGTTTCTTTTTCCTTGTAATGCTTTTTTTTTGGTTTTTCTTGACAATGAAGGCATTATACTTTGCACTTTGTTGCTTTTTCTTCATGTACGCGTATGTGTGCGTTTCGTTTCCTTCATTTCATGGATTTTTGCTCTGTGACGCTGCATTATTGGAGGGCACTCAGCATTCATAAGGCACGGAGGCGAACGACTTTAAGCCCCAAAAGGAAGCAGAAGTAGTAAGAAGGTGGAGGGGAGGGAAAGGAGAAAATGAATTTGCTTCTATGTCGCCTGTCTATTCCTTGCTTGCTGCGGAATACGCTGACGTGTATTCACCCGCCGTTCCGTCACTGTGCCACTGCATTTACGGGTGCTGCGGGTCAAGGGTCGCTGGGGCTCATGGATGCGCTGTGCACTGCGGCAGGTCCTTTCACCCCTGGCAGAGCGGAGAAGTTGAACGATGAGAGGGAGGAGATGGAAGGGAGGGAGCGTACGCAGCAGAATGAGGGGAGTGTCAGTGGTTCACCCTACCTTGTCCAGATTGCTGATAGGTACGGCATGCCGGCGGAACTCCCTCCTGGTGCGTCGCAGTCCTTTGAGGAATTGGAGGCATTGTGCCCCAGTGATACTCTTCGAGAGCAGCTGCAGCAATTACGGGCCTCACGGCGCTGGAAAACATTGACGGAGGTACAACGGGCCACCATCCCTTTGGTATTAGATCATCGCGACATTCTCTGCGTTGCACCGACCGCCACTGGTAAAACATTTTGTTATGTGTTTCCCTCCATGTTGCGTTTGGTGTTACATGCAGGAGGGCGTGAGAAGACAACTGCCGACGGTGGCAGCGATGAGTTAAACCGGTCTAATGTTGAGACGTTGTTAAAAGACAAGATAGCACGGGGGGAGGTTTGCCGTTACTGTGAGCTCGGTGTGGCTTATGCGAAGGTGTGCCCCATGACGGGCACCCCGCACCCTCCGATGCCCGATCTGCCGGACAAGCAGCTGCGACCAGCGATGCGGCTCAGTGAGTTAACCTCCGTGGCGGAGCCTCTATTGCTTATTCTCGTCCCCACCTCTCAGTTAGTGACGCAGGTGTACCAACTATATACTCAGCTGCACGCCGATTTTCGGGTAAGGTTTCTCGTCCGTGCCTCCAGCGCGGAAGAACAAAAACGCCATCTAAAGGCGTTGGAGAGCTGTGATGTGCTTATCACGACACCGGAGACCATGCTACCCGCCCTCTACAAGCGCAAGCTAACCTTGAAACGCGTTAAAATGCTTGTGATGGATGAAGTGGACGAGTTAGTCTCCGTAAACCACTTTGAGAAGGTGAAGATTATTCTTGGTGCCCTCCCCAAGGCACACGAGCGGCCGCAGCGTATTTTTTTGGAGCCTCCCTGCCTCCAGTAGCGTATCAAATGATTAGGGACCAAATGTTGTTGCCATCCCATCGATTCATCCTCGCTGACGTCAAAACTGACAAACTTGGACACCCGCTTGTGGATGGGCGTTCAACAGTTAGTGCATTCATCACTCATGTTGTCTTTATGGTGTCGCAGGTGGAAAAAATCAACAAGCTTGCCTGGTTATACAGCACAGGCAAGCTTAGCTCTGACCAGCGCACCCTTATCTTCTGTAACTCACGTCACAATGTGGCATACGTCTGTGAGCGGCTGCAGCAACTTGTGCCCCCTCTGCACGTAACGACACTCACTTCTCGTTCCTCAGCAACAGCGAAGATGGGAACGCTAAAACTTTTCCGAAGCGGTGTCTCAACATGTCTGGTGTGCACTGACATTCTCAGTCGTGGGATTGACTTTGAAAATGTTGTATACGTCGTTCACTACGATACTCCGCTGGAATTTGACACCTGGGTTCACCGCAGTGGGCGCTGTGGCCGGCACGGGGTGCCTGGTTACTGTTACACGTTCTTCCAGCCAGAGAGCATCAACATTGCTAAGCCGTTGGTGGCCCATCTAAAGCAAACCCGACAGCTGATTCCACCGAAGCTGCAAGAGTACGCGAATCAGTCACTTGTTGACACGTTTAAGAGCTCCTTGTTTTACCACCCAACACGATCGTACCGTTCAAGTGACCCACAGCGGCAGCACCCTGTAATGGGGCGCGGGACGCCACGCTTCCCTGACTACAAACAGGACCGGTTGAATCAAAATTTCCGTCCTCTTTAGTTCGGTAAAATATACACTGATTGAGGTATCATTTCTGTTGCCCTGCGTGCCCACATATATGTGTTTATTTATGCTTGTACACCCCTACTCAACGGATTTCATAGACAGATGGCTATCTAGCTACAACCGACACACCCGTCTTGGACAAGAGTGAAGACGATTGCTGGCTTCATCTACATTTGCAATAATAGGCGGCTACACAGAGATGTACTGAATACGTCAACGGAGTCTTTTTGATTATTTTCTTCGTTTTTATACGTGTACATGAGAGGGAGGGAGGGGAGCCTCAAAAACAAAAATGGGAAAATGGGTGATGTCTTGCTTTTGCCACGTTTTGTACCTCGTCGTCTGGCTCTGTGGCACCGGCGTTGCTGCGGAAGTCCTCGTGTCAGTTGGAAGTTCATGCATTAGTGGCGAATGTTGCCTGTGCCCGTTGAGAGGGCTCTTGCACTGCACGGTGTTTAACACATGCGTGTCTCCGTGCAAGGGAGCAGACTGCAACGGGCAAGTTGCATCGGTGTGCCACTACACCAATGTCTATGCTATACGTTCGCCGTCCGCGCAGCGTAATGAGGGATAAAGAGGTGTTCTGAGCCCTTTGCACATTTCCCTCGCTCTTTTTCTTTATTTATCCTCATTTGCTCTGCTGAAATTATGTCGCTGGTTGGTTTCACGTTATTTTCTTGCTGGTGTTGCTTTGTTACATTTACTCTCTTTTCCTGTCCTTGGGCTGGCAACTGTGCGGTACGTGGTACAGTATCATTTGACTTTGTAAGGGACCATTATTGTTTTACTCCACCACTGCAGTGGAACCACCTGCTATTACAGTACTCACGAATAAACTTGCCCCAATAACTAATTTAGAGTGTGGGCTGAGGAGAAGATGTCGGAATCCAATGCGGACAGTGTGGCCCATGCTGGTAAAACGGATGTAATGCGCATTGATGGGGTATACTATGATACTTTGAAGCTTGCCGCTATTCATCCTGGTGGTCCTATGATGATTAAAATGGCCAATGGCACCGATGCTACACGCATATTTGTAAGCTACCACCGTCGGCGATTCCCCCATGCAAAGTACAAGCACATGCAAGTTGCGTCAGCAGATGTTCAGAGTGGCCTGATTTCTGAGGAAGCGACACCCAACTTTGACTTGTATTTGGAGCTCTGTGACAAGGTGCGACCGTTTATAGGTCCTACGAAAGGTTTTGCTCCCTGGTACCACTTTATTAAAGCTGCAATGTGTTGTATGCTTGTAATTGCTTTGGACTTGTATGCCGTCTTCACATGGCGGCCTCTCTACCTAACGTTTCTTCAATCACTCGCCATGGCGATGGTGGGGTTAAATGTGCAGCATGATGCTAACCACGGGGCCCTGAGTGCGAACCCTGTCATTAATAGGGTTTTTGGTCTAATGCAAGATGTACTGGGAGGCAGTTCTATAAGCTGGATTATACATCATAACTTTATTCATCACATCTACACCAATGAGCCACATCAAGATCTTGACTTGGAGATTTCTCTATTGAGGTTGCATCGGTTCGTTCCTAAACGCTACTACTATACGCTTCAGCATGTGTACTTTTTGGTTCTAGAAGCCGTCTTTGGTCCCATTCATGTGCTTTCAAATGCGTGGTTTTTGTGGTCTGGGCCAGAAAAGAGACTGCAATTCATCAGTAATGAATGGAAGCTTGGCTGCCTTATGACATTAATACCGCCGTTACGTTTGGGATTTTCTTTTTTGCATGCATCTACAGTATTTGATGCTTTGGTGGGATTTTTTGCTCAATACGCTGTTGGTGGGATGTATCTTGCCTTCTTTTTCTTAATTTCTCATAACTTCACCGGGGTGAAGAAGGAAGGAAACACGGACGGGGCGTGCTTTCTTAGAGCTCAGGTGGAAACAAGCAGCAGCGTGGGTGGGTGGTGGCTGGGACAAATAAATGGTGGTCTAAATTACCAGATAGAGCATCACCTTTTCCCACGTGTTCATCATGGGTACTATCATTATATTGCTCCCACTGTAAGAACCTTTTGTGTACAGCATGGGATTTCCTATGCTCGGTTTAACACGCTGTGGGACAACGTAATCAGTACCGTAAACCACCTGAGCACATATGGACACGGAACAGAACAGACGGTAGCGGTGGAGGGGTTGAAGCAATAGCAAGCAACTAATCGAAAGGAGGATATATGTTCACACGCATGAATGCTGCACAATTTGGTGGAGATGAAAGAAGCAAAAGTGATGTGGGCGATTGAATGAAACATTGTAAAATTATGTTCTCCTTTCCCTCATTTGTTGTTGTTGTTGTTTTTATCTGTTCTGAATGGGCTTGCTTGTCATCCCGCCTGCATTTTAATAATACTGCCTGGTGTCACTTTTAATTGGCGTCATTTATATACTATAAATTTTTTCCCACAGTATCTGGGGAGTAAGGAACGACATATATTTCTATTTGCAGCAGTCTGCCTGTGTGTGTGTGTGTGTGTGTCGTGTTCCCCGCACTTCAGATGCTCCTACCTTAAGGCTTTTAAAAAGTGTTTGCAATGATGATCTCACGTGAATAACCGGCTGTGTGAGGTGGTTTATCGTGGCTCTTCAATCCCTTTTCTGTCTTTTTAAAATATGATACAATGCAAGGCATGATTCTCATCGGCTGGTTTTGCTGTTGTTGATGTAGTTCTATTTATTGTTGTCTTTTCTGCTTTTTTTTCCTTTTTTTTTTTTTGCGGAGCTCAGAAGAAAACAAAAAACCTAAGAAACTGCCGCCTTTGCAATGCCGACCGTACATGTCAAGGGTGGTCGCAACGTGCACTACACAGATGAGTCCATAACAGCCAAATACATCTACCACACGACACGCGTCACTAAAGAAAAAGATGGGGACGTGACTGTGGAGCCGATGGACGTCGCGTTGCGCTTTCGTACACTTCGCAAACAAACTAAGTGTGGTATCATGATGGTGGGGTGGGGCGGGAACAATGGAACGACAGTGACGGCCGGCATTCTGGCCCACAAGCATGGTCTGACGTGGCGCACAAAGACAGGGGAATTGCAGCCAAACTATTTTGGCTCCATCACGCAGTCCAGCACAATGAATCTGGGCCTGACAAGTGACATGAAGGAGGTATTTGTGCCGCTGAAGGACGTTGTGCCCATGATAAACCCGACTGACCTCGTTATTGGTGGGTGGGATTGCAGTGGATTGAATCTCGCTGATGCCATGCGCCGCGCCTGTGTCTTGGATCTTGCTCTTCAGGATGCATTGCAGAAATACATGAAGGAAATGCGGCCTCTTCCTGCTCTTTTTGATCCTGATTTTGTTGCAGCAAACCAAGAGGAGCGTGCTGATAACGTCCTGTCAGTGCAACACAAGTGGGAGGCGGTGGAGAAGTTACGGTCTGACATCTGCACATTTAAGGAGACTCATGGGTTGGATAAAGTTATTGTGGTCTGGACAGCCAGTACCGAGCGTTTCTCGGATCATGTTGAGGGTATACATGACACGCCTGACAACCTGCTGGACGCAGTAAAGCGCAACGAAAAAGAAATTGCACCATCTGCACTCTACGCAGTGGCAGCCATCTTGGAGGGATGCAGCTACATTAACGGTGCACCGCAGAATACGCTCTGCCCCGCTATTATTGGCCTTGCCGGTCGACAAGGTGTGTTTGTCGCTGGAGATGACTTTAAGAGTGGACAAACGAAAATCAAAAGTGCTTTGGTAGAATTTTTTGTGGCGGCAGGCATCAAGCCAGAGTGCATTGCAAGTTACAATCATCTTGGAAACAATGACGGACGTAATTTAGCTGCACCGAAGCAGTTCCGCTCAAAAGAGATTACAAAGAGCAGTGTGGTTGACGACATGGTGGCGTCCAACGAGGTGCTGTATCCCGCTGGTAGCAAGGGACCCGATCACTGTATAGTCATTAAGTACATGCCGTACGTGGGCGACGGCAAGCGTGCAATGGATGAATACAGTTTTTCAATCTTTATGGGAGGAGCACAGACAGTGGTTTTGCACAACACATGCCAAGATTCTCTGTTGGCGGCGCCGCTTATCATTGATTTGGTTGTCTTGACCGAACTAATGGAACGCGTTTTCGTCAAGATAGAGAGCGAGGAATCCAACGTTAAAGATGAGGACCTTAACTCCTACGTCCACGTAGATACGGTGCTGTCAATTTTGTCATATCTCCTAAAGGCGCCATGCGTACCCGAGGGCACACCCGTGGTGAATGCATTGAATCGACAGAAGCAATCTATTGACAATGTGTTACGTGCCCTCGTGGGGCTTCCGCCGGAAAATAACATGCTGCTTGAGTGTAGTCTTCCCTTCTTGCGTGGCAGGAAACCAGCATAAACATATTGAAGGGGGGGGGGGAGGCTTGCGCCCCTCTTACACGTTACGTAATATTAAGAGATTTTTATTTTTATTTTTTGAGTCTGAGGGATATATTGGGGGATGGAAAGGTGTTTGCTCACCCTGCTTGGGTTCCCTCCGTTGTCTGCCAGGCTTCTCTTCAACCCCGTAGTCAACTTCTTTTATTTTGCTCTGTCGGTTATTTCTCTGTCTTCCTCCTGTTCATCCGTTGACCTTTAGTTGAAGGGCATTTGAGCTTGCTTGGGAGTGGCAGATTGGCGAACGCTCCTCCCACTTCTTTAAACTCCAACCACACAACCTTGGCGCTCCTTTACAAAAACTGTTTTAGGCTCAGCGCAGCAAGACCCCGGTCTTGGCAACGCAAAGAACCAGGTAAAGGGGAACCAACGAGGACGAGGACAAGAAAGGAAGAAACAATGACGATGCGTGAGGATTACCCTCGCTACCCGCGGGACGTCAGGGAGAAACAAATCGTTTCGCGGCCGGCATGTGAACGACGGCTGGCAGAATTACATCTTACCGCCTTCCCCAACGTGTTGAATGAGAACGCGATGGAGGCAATGACGAGGTGTGACTTTGGACTGTTGAAGGAAGAAGAAAAGAAAAAAAAACTGATGAGTCGGGGGCTCACAAGGTGGTGATGGAGGCGAGGGCAGTTCCACCCATGACAAGCAACCAGCTCGTTGCACGCATGGCGGAGATGGCGTGGGAGGAGAAGCGTAAACATTCGACATCTGGCGAACGCGAGTCGTTGGCAGCACCAGATGGGCGCATCAAAGTGCATGATGTCTCTTTTGATCGCAGTTCCACCTACCGCTTGGATTACTGCAATAAAGACGTACCCGGCTTCCATAGGCGAGTGCGTCCCATACCGGACTACACCAAAGATTGGAGCGAAACTGAAAAGACAAACATTGAAGCCGCGAAAAAATTTCCCTACCTGACGATGCCAGAGAGTTTACTGAAGAAGCGTCCAACCGTGTACCGACATGATTACATTCCAAGTGCGGAACGGGAAGACTACCGGACACTTCCACACAATACAAATCTGCAGGACCTCGGTTCCTCCTTTGCGTATTCTGCCTACTCTGTAGACGATCCTGCGCGTGTGATAAAGTACGACAAGGCTGTCGCCTCCTGCAACAGGCCCCATTGTTTGTTATGGAAAACTTACAGTCCGCGGGACTCTATCGCAGTTCAAAGGCACCCAGAATCAACCGCAGAGGAGTTACAGCACTTGCGAGAACTTCGGCGTATTCAGATGTCGAAATCGAGTGATCGTAGTTCGTCAGGGAAGAGCCCGGTGGAGTCTGTATCTTCGAAAAGGGTAATTGTAATACCGGGAATGCGAGGCATGGGGTATCGTCGGGCGCCAAAGGAGGGCAAAGATTACATTTATCTTCCCCGGGACCACTTCTGCCATCAGGTGGTCTATGACTATTAACACGGATATGTATTTATATGCATATGTACGTACGATAAGAGGAGGGGGAGGACCAGCTACGAGATCGAAAGAGATTCACTGGTGGGAGAAAGAATAAAAAGAGAGAGAGAAAGAGCACACCTACTCCAAGTGAAAGATGTAAATTGATGAATATTACACGGTATCTATGTGTTATAGTGAGTTTTTTTTTTTTTGGCTGTGGTGCGCTGTTGATCCTCGTTGGTGTGAATTCGGTTGGCTTGGCAGCACATAGATAAGCATATAAACTTGTTCCCCCCCCCCCCCCCATCCCTTTTCTGTCTTTTTATTTATTCTTGGCCTCGTTAAATATAATAAAGGAAGAAGATATTGTTATATTGCTTTGTATAATGACAGGGAAGTTACAAGGCTCAAGGGGGGTACCACGTGCCTGTTGGAAGCAGATGCTATCGGAGAAGTTTGGGGATAATCCAGACGAGCGTCTCAAGCTGTATGGTTCCCTTGCCAGACTCGCACGTGATAAGAACGCACCCTACTCGGATAGTTGGACAGCAGTCATGTTAAAGGCCTCTCATGACTCCTGGTCTCGAATTCGCCAACTTGGGCGAGAAACACTTCTTCGTGAAGTAAAAATGGAAGTGGAACTGTCAAATAAAAACTTCTCGCGGAGAGTTTTGAGTCTACTACTCAGTAAATGGCCTCAAATGAAGTGCTGGTATGAGAGGGAAGGGTTTCTATTGCTGCTGCTAGGGTTCTTCTTGTCCAAAGCCGACGTGATATCAGATGGGAGGGTATTGTCCTATATATTGCTGCGAGTAGGGTTGCCCTCTCTGTTGGACCCGCAGCTTCCTGTGCGTGAGGTGGCAGTTAATGTAACCGTTCAGATTGCAGAGCTAAGTGGCGACCTCGCCTCCTTCACACAAGATCACTTGCTTATCCAACTCAAACTGCTTCTTGAGGAAAGGAAAGAGCCGAGTGCATGTGAAATTGAAGGTCTTCTTAGTGGTGTTACACGCCTCATGGTTGTGTGCCCCAGCACGCTTCATACCGAATGGTGGGCCAAAATGCAACCTCTTCTACAGCAACTTTCTGTTCACTCCGCTGCCAGCGTTCGCCAACGAGTGGCAGCAGTGTGGGCGCCACTGTCTGTAAGATCTTTTGAAATGCTATGTATTGCGATAATTAAAAAATCAGAATCACCCTCGGAGAGCGATGAATGGTGGAGAATGGTGGAGGTACTTCTCATGGCGCTACAGGAGCAGTTGGCACATTTATTAACCTTGACTGACGGGGAAGTAACGGTGGATCTTGAGACACGTGGGGCCTCCATTGCAGATTCCCTTTACGCAGTTTTGATGTTTGCTGAGATGCAGCGGTTTGAAGTGATGCGCATGGGTAAGCAGCTTGTTCCCTTGCTTACACAGTTTTGGGTTCGCTTTGCGCCTTCCCTCGATTTTGTAGAGGCTTGTTGTGGCCAAGTAGAGAGACGATTTCTCGAACGTGCTCATTTTTTACGTCTTTTTTTACCAGAACTTATTTGGTTTCTGGCGCTTCGGCGTTACCTGCGCCCTGCGGAGGATGTAGAAAGAGTGCGAGACGCCGTGTCGCAGCATTTGCTGCCGCTCCTCCATGGGAAATGGAATGTGTTTTTAAATTCCAATGACATTGGAACGGTCTTACCACGGCCTGGCTACGCATTGGCGGTTTTACTACTAGTAACCTATTTCCCAGACTGCTTAACAAAGTCTGTGAATCGGGACTTGATGACGTTTGCCTTGAGTGAGGGGGCGTGGAAACGCGCACTTTCAGAAGACATAGACTCTGTAAGATACGGAGTGGATTTCGCACTTTCTGTGAGACGCATTGGTGGGACGATTCTGCATCTCGTTCCTGTTTGGCTCGAATGGATCTCCAACGCCTATGCCCATCAGCAGTGTTTGATACTAGAAGCGGTAAAAATTGCTGTTGGCTCACCAAAGTATTGGGTGTCAAGCAAACCGTTTTCTTTTGCGTACTGCTCGGTCTTCGACGCGCCGACGATGCAAGAAGGCGGGGAAGAGGTTTCGCGCGGATTCTATTGGCTCAAACTGCATTGCCCCACCCCGGCCTGCCTGCCTGAAATTCCATTTTTATCAGCGGATGCGGCCGGCGCTGCGGGGGTAGTCCCCGCAGCAGTGCATGAAACAGTTTATGCAAGCGTTTACGTTTCGAAGGGAACAGAGCATTCTGTATTACGCATTGCGCGCTCCCTCATGCTAACGGAGTGCGAGGCAAATCGAAAAGCGGAATCCATTGCAGCAGTGGTGGCCGCAGTCGTTGCCCGGCTGGAAAATGTCTCTCCAAGATGGCGCGAGGCGCTCCCAGTTTCCTTTGGCGGTGCGCCTGGCGTCCCCGATTGCCGCGCCCAGGGCGGCATCCGTGATAAACATAGTGGTTGCAGCGACTGGGATGACTCGGAGGGCGGTCTCGATGCCGAGGGCGTCGATACAGATGAAGAAATAAGGGAGGCCGGGCGCCTCTTTGCGGTAATTCTAGGGAGTTGCTTCGGTGCCGATGTGGGCGGGTTCCTGCGCGCCGTTGGCCCCGCGGAACGTCAATCAGCTGCGCTTTTATTGAACGAGTTCGAGGGCGGCTGCCGGGTCACGCGATAAAAAGGGCCATCGGTGTTATTCGAATCGCCGCTACTGGTTGGGATCGCTTCGTTTGGCAACCCCACGCGCCGCCACCCTCTGGTAGGGGGCGGCGCATAAAATGCAAAAAGCAAACGAGCAGGCGGAAAAACCAACCGTAAAATCTACTGCCAGTGCAAGCTTCTTTTTGCCGTTGGCGCCTCTCACCCCACTTCGAACCAACCATCGTGTAGGAAAGCGCACTATTATGAAGCGCGGCGAGGCGCCCTCGTGGCGCGATTCCCAATTGGGATGGAAGAAATTCCGGGCCCGCCCACCGGACCGGCCACCCCCCTCCGCCTCGCAAAGTCTTTGCGAAAAACTCGGCGGCCTTCTAACAACTCCGCATCGACAGCCGCCCGCTGCGGCGACAACAGCGCGGCGCGCCAAACAAGCCCGCAGCGGAAACAGGGACAACGTGGCCGCGCACCATATGGTTGTTGTTTTTTTTCCGCGCGCCCGCCAGCATCGTACAACGCACCTGCCGTGCTGGGCGGATGTGTGCAAAAACAAAACAAAAAAAAACCGACCTCACGTGGAGAGGATTGAGCAGAGAAGAACATATTAATCATGCAACGCCGCCGCGCAACACGAACACCGCCAAGCGCCGCCCCCGCAAGGGAGTTTCATCACCGCGTTTGAGCGCAGTTGTCCCTCGCGCTGCCTCTTGGGCTCCTGCCGCGTAAGAGGGGGCACCCCACCCCCACCCACACCCCGCCCACACATCGCAATAGGGGTGTTCCGCCCTTCGCCCCGGGCCTTGCGTTTCCTCCTTGGCCCCGCGGTGTGCTCGTGCACGGGCGGAGGCTCTTTCCTCGCCAAAACCCCGCACCCGCAGCGCCCAGCTCGAAACGGCGAGTCTCCTGACAGATCCTCGCTCTCACCGAGCAGCCTTGCTCGCGGAGGGGCCGGCGGCGGCGTGCCAGTCCGGACGGCGCTCAGGAAGAGGCAAATGGGGAGCGACTTCGGTTGGGAAGGTGCAGGAGCCAGCCGGCGCACGGCCCCCGGCTCGGGTCCTCGTCGAAGCATGTGTCGCAACACGGCCCAGCGACGGCTAAGCGCCGGAACAGGCACTGTGAGTAGGGCCTGTGCGCGGGGCGGTGAGGAGGCAGAGGACGTCTGTCATC